TAAAAACTTATAAGCAGAATATTATTATAAAATGTTTATGTGCACTGCACTATTACATTTAAGTAAAGATAAACAATGTTATTTGCTTTTAAAATTAAACTTATATTTTAATCTTAATATTTTCCAAAAAATACAACGGTATCCTAAAGAATTTATAATACTTGATGCAATTATGATTAAATTATCATAAATTAATGATGTATTTTTTACACACACAATTCAATTTAAATTATCAAATTTATAATATCCATGGGTAGGTAAAATTATTTTCTGTTAAGCTAAAAAAACAACTAACTATTTTTTAATGTTTAAATAATCTATGTGAGAAAATAAACTAATATTAAAGGAAATTAAATAATCTACAAGTTATAACAGTAGTTTTTATACAATTATAGTTGAGATGTCGTTCAATGCTTTTCACACGGTTTTAAATTAAATCGATAAAACATGCAAATGTATGCAAACTAGTATTATTCAGAACACAAAGGAGACTTTAGACAGAAATAAAAAAATATTCATTTATGCTTTTTTTCTTCCTTCCACCCTCGTCATCCAAGCCTTTAGTCTATACCCGCACCCATCGACGTGTTCTTCTAAGTGGCCATTTCGACAACCTTTCAAAATGTGCCCACATATTTCTTCCCCTATTACATGTAAAATACTATAAGTGAAGGTCATGTAACAAAATTGATTTTCACCCTCGCTTACCAAAAATCCCGTCATAGCCACAGGGATACTAAACAACCATTATCGGTGAAACATTAATTTCGTGCTATTTTTTTTTTTTACATTCATAGAGATGAAAACTGGACCTTTTTGGTTTGATTTTTATTACAACAAAAAAAGGCGTGGAACATTTTTTGAACTAACGACATAGGACCTCTAACGCTTAATTATTCCCTTTTCTCTAAACTATCTTTGTAATTAGTGACATCCTTGTAACCCAGCCGTTTTTTCCTGTTATATCAGATATTTGTATGGTCTTTCATTAATTTTGTTGAACTTAAAAAATATAATTTACAAAAAGCTAAAAACAATTAAACTATTAAATAAATCCATATGTTTAAAGAAATTATTAAATTATTAATGCCAACAATGACAAAAAAATTAAAATAAAATGTTAGATTCACAGTAATTTATTATTTCCAATGAAAAGTATGTTTTCACAAATGGCGTGTGGGTATTTTCTTTATATAAAATATACCCAGAACAAAAACAACGAAGGACGGCAATTTGTTTTGGTTTTTAGCATCACGATAAATAATTGTTAGTATACTTTGTTTCATTTAATTTAAACACGTATCTTGGTAGAGACTTTAGGGTAAAAGGAAACAACAATAGTACAAAGAATTATACAATGAACGTGAAACAAAATTTTAAAAAAAAAAACCCCATGCAAATGTCAAAACTCTGGTATAAAACTTTATGTACTTGCTCATTTAGTTAGGTCAGCTATAAATTAATCGAAAGTTTACAAATTTGTAAATTAAGCTGTAATTTTTTTTAATAAATAAGGTACATTTTATGTTTTTAACGTATCTAAACTAAACTACAAAGTTTGTACAAATTATTCCAAAAGTATATTTTTATAAAAATGTTATCATCAGTTTGCAGCTGTTTTCATATTCTGTAAATATAATCATACAGATTAAAAACTAATAATTATGTAACATGACATTGATTTTTTTGTATACATGAGTATATTATGCGTATTATAATAATATTATATTATTACCAAGTATTTAATTAAATATATAAAGTATTTGTAAGTAATTTTATATTTACATTCATTTACAGGTTTTTACCTATTACTTAGGTAGGTACTTCAGATATTAGATTAAATATTATTTCACTATCCATAATACAATAATATTGTGTTCAAATAAAGAAAATAATGGAAATAATATATGAAAAACATTTCATACAAATGAAACAAACTATTTTCAGATAAAATGCAAAATGTAATAACTGAAAATCAAAATAATAACTTAAGATATTATTTGACATACCACTATTACATGGCAAATAGATACAAACGATGACCATTATGCTGGTGACCTAGTTAAACACACGTTACATCCCTAAACTAGCAAGCAATTAAATAGATCTATACTCGCACTCTAAGAGTGGAAACTTTGGCGCAAGAATCGCATAGCCACTTAGCCCCTCATTCTCCCTTGGGGTCTAAGCGAGTATTTTGAATGGCCGCCTAAGGGTTTAAAATAATTATGATAATTAATTTAACTACAATCATCAGTAAGTTAAGTAACATACTAGGGAATAACTAATGAAAATTATATTATTTGTTTAACAGTTAAAAGAAAAAATAAACTAATAATAGCTAGATGTCTGTATTAGATATACCAATCCAAACAAGATTTGTTATAAAATGTTAACTGTTCAAAAATTTAAAAAAAATATATTCATACAAAAATAACATATTACTAGTTATAGTGGTATATTATCTAATATACTTTGTGTAAATCAGGCATATAGGTACGTCACACGAACTTATTTAAACAACTGGTCTGTACATAGGTAGGAGTTAATTTGCCATTAATTTAAATAAGTTAGTAACGTAATAATGCTCTAATATATAACATAATCAGTGGTTTTAGAAATGTGTAGAAGAAAAGAGATAAGTTAATTTAAATAGAAACATACATTTATATTAAGTTGACATTTTTATGATCTAACACCAAACGAAGTTTTAGATAGAACGTACAACAAAAATATGAGGTACCTCAATTATTAGATCAGTTGCCCTGATTATTTCATAATAATTTCAAACATTTCAAATATTCAAAATGTAATTAAATAATTATAAACATCAAATCTATAAAACTCTCTAGATATCTACCTAAGAATTTAATAGATATGATAGTACAAAATAAGATAGTATAAACTATCAGATGACAGAAAAAAATTAGTTTTAAAAAAAAAAAATTAGTAGTTACCAACCCAAAGCTATAACAAATATAGAAAATTGGCCAAAAATGACATATGACCAACATAATGTATTCAATTGACACTCAATAAAAATGTTAACTAAATTCATATTTTTTACGACATTCTAGGTAACTAAACATTTTCCAAAAAAAACAACTTCAACGTATAGGTACCAATGATAACTATCATCTTTTAATTAGAATTTTAAGTAAAAATATTTATTTAAAATAAAAATGAAAATATTATTTGAATAAAATATTTAAATATATGTTAATAATTTCAAAATAATTGAAAATATGGTACCTACAATTTATTGAATATTTCAAGATCTTATGAATCTAAAATAAAGATTAAAATGTAAGTAGGTACACTTACAGAACTGTACATTTCAATATTCTTTGATGTAGTATATTATACAAGCAAATATTTTCAATATTACAGAATGGTGATCTATCAATTCAATATAAGTGATCTACCATAAAATGTCAATACATACAATTGATTGAATTTACTTTTTAGCTGGTAATTAAAGGTTTATAAAATAAATCAAATATTCGACAAAAATGCATTAAAAAATACACTATTTCTCATCACTGACCGCGTAACTTATATTAAACACTATTTCATAGATAACATTATTATCAGCATTCAACATACCTATATACTGCTGTGCATGGTCATAATATATTATATAATTATATTATCATCATTCTGCGTAAATATCGTATATACTATATATGTATTATCTATAGTAAATGACTAATAATTCAAGAATTAAAGCGCACTTTATAGAGTCTACGAGGTATTACTAAAAAATAAACGTGTAGGTAACCGTTACGAAATATTTTTGAAATCTGATAGATCACTAACTACACTTAAAATTTAAGCGTAAATCACTTTGTATACGAATTTCATAAATGTAATGCATATTAAACTAAACTATTAAAATCTCGACAATTTTATACTTTCTACAGTATAATATATATTATATACACTCAAAAATAAATAAAGACAAAATCTAAGAAAAGTTAAAACATATTATGTTTAGAAAATAAAATAAACAATGAAAACTGTAAAAATTAATTGTTATACTGCATAAAAACAACTTATTTGATATTAATACAAAAACAAAATACTATACAAGTTTACAATCGATGATATAAAATATTAAAATAAATAATGAATCATTCAAATGTTAAGAGTATCTATGTGCAATGTGTGTACAGCACAGTCAATCGTATAGGACTCAAAATAATCTGAACAGATGTTCTTTGAAGAACAATTTGTTCATTATCAACGTCGAATAATAATCGACTGCAGTATGTACCCAGTAATTCACTCATTTATCAAAGAACTAAAGTATTAAAATTATCTATAAAGATAGTTTCAATAAAAAGAGTAATTCTATAATAATAGAAAACAATATAAAGTACCTACAGTATTATATACATTATTTCTAGATTTGCAACGCATTCATTAAATACTAACTGTTTTATTACATAAAATAAAATGAATTATTTTATGCGGGTACCTACTTAAATGAAAATATAAAAAAAATTAATAACAATCTAAGTAATATATTAATATTTACTTTACATAAATCTAAAAATAAGCTGAGAAAAGCACTATTTAATTTCATATATTATTTTATTTACAATTGAATGTGTTAACAGGGAAAACGAGATGATTCGTGTTTTACGATTTGACCTTTTTGATAATATAATAAACTACTAATTTTGGTAGGTAGGTACAATACAATATTATGTCCTCTGGTTAAAAATTCGAATGATTCATCATTTCATTTTCATCAATCACTGGTTAAAACTTACAATACCCCCCGGTAAAAATATAGGATTGCGTGCGATTCATCCATTGCCCATTGAGTCTATACTCTATATATTCGAACCCCTGCCGTATACGTAGATCACCCCTTCTGAAATTACATCTGGCCAAAAGGGCAACATTTCCCTCGTGCGGGGTCCGATGAATTAACCGTTAATTGAACCCTAACCGAGAGAGAGAAAAGGAAAAAAAATGAAAATGAAACTTACTTCGAACAGCCGATATTTTTGGTCGCACGTTCTCTTGCCATCCTGCGCTCGCGGGTACCCACCACTGAGCAACGACCAGCAGTAGGCCGGCGACGAATAATGCTCCTTTCTGCATTGTATAATCCGCGGAAACGTTTCACATCGAACTAGATTTTTTTTTGGTTATTGAACGCGTAAAAAAAAAACTCGTGGACGAATATTTTGCGCGGCGACCAGTGCCTGTTACCAGCACTTGGGTACAATGTTGTCAACAGCGGTTGTGTACGACGGCGACCACGACGACGGCGATCGGCGTGACGGTATATTTTGGTCGAGAGAGCGCGCGTACACGTTACCAAACGGTTGCGGCGTTACTGTCGTCTGCGGTTCGACTTAGCACCACTGACGCAATGCGAACCCGAGACAACGACCCGACCGGCGCATGGTCATCTGACGGCGGCAGCGGCGGCGCTCCACACTTTTGTCAACCACATGGACCTGAAAAGCAAAATGTATTACATTAACGTCATATATTGTGCCGCGATGAATTATTCACTTATATACAGCTACCGCTGCACAGTACAATTATACATCGATGTAGGTAAATTCGAACTATTCACTATAACTCGATCGCTGTATAAGATGATTAAATAATTAAACGCAAGTCGTCAAATCCACGCGATTCTGGTGACCTATAACCGAGTGTAATCCTCGATTTGACATCAAGCACCGAGTTCGTAGTATTGAATAAGCGTCACCGAACACTTACTCCGACCACGTCTTCTGTTTTATTTTGTTTATTTTTACAATACACTTGCTTATTGTACATTTAAAACACGGATTGTAAATATTTTCCATTCTCAACAGGAATAAAGGATTTAACACGGTATACTACACTTTTTTAAACGAGTTGGCGGTTTAAAATAATAGAATATTCTAGGACCTTAGGATGGGCAGTAAACAAATAATTCAGCATTTAATAAACATCCAATTAAAACATGAATCGGAGGATATTAGCCTAACCAATTTAACAAAACATAATTAATAATTGAAATTTCTATCCATTTAATAAAATTAAAATCAATTATATCGTGGTAAGAATTTTTTTTTAATAAAATAATTTTGTTTTCACGTTAACAGATAACTTTTAAGCATTTAACTATGAAGAAAATATGTATGATTCGCACATTGACAAGGAAATTGGTTCAACTGATTGTGCACAAAAAATTAATATTTATAATAAAGAAATTAAGAATGTCAGCTTTATATTATTCTGTGTTCACTTTTTTGACATTTACAGTAAAAAAGTTACAAGAATTTTATGAATATACACAGTTAAATTAAACAGTCTGCACAAAAGTAAGTTTTTATCCGTTTCAATCAATTATTATATCCTGTCAGTTTTACTAAAAATATTTTGTTTAATTAAACAATATCATTTCTTAAACATAGAATACATCTAGTACTTTATTTCTCCATCCTATGCCCGCAACAAAGTTTTGATTAAATTTTAGAAGTTTATTATATGATTATTGACTTATACTTCATAGATATTATTATAAACGACAATATTGAATAAAAACAAAACAAACAATTGAAGAAACATCTAAAAATAAATTGATTAATTATTATCTGATATGAAAATAAAACTGGCATGAAAGACTTCTATTTCCAAATATCCAATTGTATCCCATGATCTTTGACCCAAAAAGAAAATTTTGACAAAAGTTCAAAGAACATCAATGACTCATAATAAAAAAACTCATAATTCCAATCTTACGAGTTAATTCTTAAATGTAGAAGTAAAACGCCGGTTACAAAAAATAAAAAAATTGAAAGAAAGACAAACCTTTCCTATGTTTCTATTATTACGCGAATCGTGGGACAGTGTCTTGATAATGTAAGTCTCTTTATACATTTTTAGATTGTTTTTCGAAAAAAAAATTCGAGGAAGTAAAAAGTTTCGGAACTTAAAAATAATTTCACTATAAATTACGAATTTGACACGAAAGATAAGTTGAGAAAAAAATTTTTAAAATTTCACAATTTACCTTATAGTATAGGTTTGAAGACTAAGAACGAAAAAAATAACTGACAACAGTGTAAAAATTAAATTTACGGCAAAACGTGTTTTACTTATTGTACTATTATTTGGTATAATTCAATAAATAATTTAATCTTAATTCTATTCAGTCTTTACATTTTAATCAACAATTAATTAAAATTTAATATAGACACGATATGACTTAAGAAATCTTATCTTGGTATCTGGTCTTTATAAAACTTTGAAAACTTTTTAATATTTCTATCATTATTTTAAACAAATCTCTGATATTTGTACTTAAAATTTAACTTAAGAGTTATTATTACAAAGTATAACAAAAGACATTATTTTAACTATAATTTTCAAAACAATTTGAATTACAAAAAATGGCTATACTTTTGATTTGATAAAATATGTAATTTTACTTT